AACTGAAATTTTGATTATGGTTACAATGGAGGAACTAAGAGGTTATGTAGGGCTAAAACAACAGATTCCTCAGTGACACAGAGAAGTCCCTTGGAGTGTAACTTTCATCTGGCACAGTAAAATGTCCTGACATTAAGTGGCTGCAGAATGGTGGGATTGTTTCCATCAAATATCGACACAATTTGAGACATCATTCAGGATATTTAAGAAACAAAAACTCTCCCATGGAATCATGAATAGCATGGACTTTAACTGCAGGGTAGTTCAGTTTCAGAGTATTAGTGTGTTGATATTCCTAGAGAAATAGCAGTCATTTGCATGTAGATGAATACAAACTGAACTGGAATTGCTCATTTACGTGGAGTGTTTCAGAGTTTCCAGAGTTCAAGGCAATGTTGCCCTCTTGAAACACATGTGGTCCAGATTGTTAACGGCACAGGCAGGGGTTCTATATGTCCATTGTTTCTGTGATGTGAAGATGCCAGTTGGGCAAAGTGGTAGGAAGCAGGTCCCACGGTGTCCTCACCTGGTCTCTCAAGTCAGGAAATAATCTTGTGGTAGAATAAGAGAGGGAGGAGCTTCCTGGAAGGTTGTAAGACATGATCCATTTGGTTCCTGTAGCATTTTTGGCCTGAACGTTTCAAAAAATAAGGTGAATAGTTCTTCAATATGTGAGATATTTCACTAACCACTTTCTCTGTCTTTATAGCATAAAGTTTTTAAAAGATATTAAAGATTCAAATATTTGAAAAGTAAAATCAATCTGGCCTAATGCATGTGTGTATAATCTTGTGCAACAAAAATAAAACCACATGGTGTTATCTCACATGAGAAACTTAGAAACACCTGACACATATGAGATATCAAGCAGTATATTTGAGTGTATATGTGTACATATTTGCATATACATATATGACTTTATATTCACATGTGTGTATACATGTATAATCACTTTATATTTGTTTTCCAATTAATGGTATTAGAAAATTATAAATGAAAAAAGAAATGAAAAACAATATGAATTAAAATAATAAATTGCTTTAACCTTAATGTAATGTCTATTTTATCTTATATGTACCTCATCATGACAAGTACTTAATTGGTTTAATTTACATGTGATGCATTTTCCCTTTTTATTACTTGTATTTAATCCACATACCTTGAAAACATTTACCTGACAGACTATTAGGATTATTTCTTCATGGTTGATATAAAATATATACATTTGAGATTGGAGCCACCCATTCCTTATAGACTGGATTGCACATGGTCGATTTCCTAACTCTACCTTAACTTATTCCAAGTTCATTTCTTAAATGCTTTTAGTATTTTATGCTTTTTATTTATAGATTATATAATATGTTATATTACATGGTATATATTTTTCTTTTTTCTCTCTTAGCCCTTATTTTAAAAATTATTTATTTATATGAAAGTCAGAGTTAACCAGCTAAAGAAGAAGAGACAGAGTGAGAACTTTTGCTGATTCATCCCACAGACGGCTATGACGTCTGGTACTGGACCAGGATTTTCAACTATATATTTTGAAAATATTTCCCATTAAATATAATTTAAAAAGTCTGACTTTCACAGGAGTAATTAATCTATTTATACTTACTATCATCATGTCTATATTGATTATTAGATTTAGCAATTTATAGTGTTCTCTGCATGATGCCTGCTGTAAGTTCTTGAGTTTTATATTTCAAATTCATCTGTATTAATCCTTAAATAATTCTACCATTTATTCCTTTTATTTGGGGGTTATATATTTACTGCCTCTTATTTTTAACACAGAATTTCAGCATATTTTAAACTAATCATAATATGGTTACTTAATAATTTTAATTTCAACCTGAATGATACAATTCCAATCCGATATTTACCTATTAACATTCTGCGAACTTATTTTTAATGTTGACCTTTTTTTTTTCAAAGTTTAATATCATAAATGCAGGGAGCCTAAAAGTTCACATGCAGAGCACACCTCTATAACAACATGTGGATCCTAAAAATCAAAATAATATCTGCTGCCTCTCTAGAGAAGCAAATTTCCTCCTCCATTAGTGACTAACGCCACTGGGTAACCACTGTTCTGATATCTAACAAGATAGGTAACCTTCATTGTATTTTAAAATTTTATATACATAAAATTACATAGCATACTCTTATTTATCTTTCATTCTTATGTGTTGCTACCTGCATTGTTTCACGTGTTGTGGATCATTCAAGATCATTGCTTTAGGAGATTCCATTGTGTGAGCATCAAACAATTTCATCATAACACAACTGAAATTCATGTAACATTTTCAAATAAAGGCTACTAGGGAATAACACTGGGATGCAAATATGGAAACTCTTCTGTCGGTAAGCATGTATGAATATCTATCAGGTATACACATATATGTCCTGAGGAAATTGCAGGATCATACCTCTCCATTGCTTCTACATTATAATTACTGCAAAATACCTTCAACAAAACATGTTCTCACCAGCCCCTTCCTCCAGATGTCTGTGGGTTTTCTGGTTTACTCCACATGTTGCCAACACGTGGTAATTTCTGTAATTTTTATTTGTATATGTTAGTGTGTGTTGGTTTCTATATGGTTTATTTGCATTTGCTTGATTACTAAGGGAATTCAGCATGTTTCACATGTCTAGTAAATGTTAGATGGCCTTTCCTTGATAAATTAATATTGGTTAATTTTTCAAATTTTTATTCCATTATTTTCTTAAATGTTATTTGTAAGAATATTAGTATTTGTTTTTAATGATTTATTTGTACTTGAGAGGTAGAGAGAGAAGACACACAGATAGATAGACAGACAGATAGATAGATACGAGATTGAATTTCCATCCAGTGGTCCAATCCCCTGTTCCTCACAACCACAACAACTGGGTCTAGGCTTGCAGCCAGGATCCGAAACTCCATCTGGATCTCCCAAGAAGGTGGCAGGAACTCAAGCATATGGGCCACCATCTGTTACTTCCCTGGGGCATTAGCAAGAAGCTGAAAGGTACGCAGGCCCAGGATTCAATCCCAGGCATTCATATGGGATGTGGACATCCAAGCGGTGGCTGAATTTTACATGATAATTTATCATTTATTCTTTTAGATTTAACAATTTTTGTTCTCTTCCAGAGAACTTTTCCTATTGTAAGACTACAGATATGCTCTCCTTTAAAGATCCATTAATCATCTTTAAATTTAAAAGTGATCTACTCAGAATCAATCTGTAGTCATATGAGTAGCAGCTCATATCATTTACCAAATAAATTCTCTGTTCCATATACTGGACAGGGGTCATACATTCCACTTTCAGAATTATCAGAGATGCAAATCTATCCATGATGTGCTTATAATAAAGGTTTAGAAGAAATCTATTCCTGGAAGAAATCATGGATTCCAGGGGATGTTGCTAGAACAACAAGGTTTTCTCTAACTCTGTTGTCTGAATCCTCAATGGAATCAGTGACTGTTTCCTACTGAAATCATCCTTGGTACCATGGAAATGGTGAGATTATTTCCCCCTTTTACATAAGGGAAGGATTAAGCCATGTGAAGGCATGTCCTGTAGAGAAGGACGTCACCTGGCAGCTGCCATGTATGATTTGTATTCCAGTGTTTGTTTGAATTGAAAATATTTTCATGTCAATTGCCAGCCCCATTGTTTCAGGTCACAAACTGCACAGGTGTGGGCACCCTACATAGTCCATGTGGTCTACATGCTCTAGTACTCAATAACCTTTAGATATCTTCACCATGGAAAACTTAATCATTAATGAACTGTGAGTCACAATTAAAGCTTATGATAGTAAAGTGATACTATATAGTTTCCAGCATATATCACTTCATCACAGATGGTGTGTCCTGTTCTATACTCTACAGTAGAAGATGTGGCCAGCACTTAGGTGTCAGACTAATACTAGAAAAACCAAGTACTGTTTGTGTTCTATTCCTAATACAGAAGGAATTTAACAATATACAGTTTTTCAAGGAGAAAGGCATTAGAAAAAATACTATGAACAGTTCATTTCCCTTTCAAAAGACACCTAAATCCTTAATCAATATTTATATTGGCTTACGCTATAAATTTTTAGGTGTAGAAATAAACATGTGTTAAGTTTATGAAACAAATTACTAGTCTCAATAAATTGACAATGTAATAAAATAGGTGTATATATTTATATATGTGCTATTTGAAAATCACAGCTAATAGTTTTGTAATAATATCAAGATGGTTAATTCACCTACTTTTTAGAAAGATTTACTGTTTATTTGAAAGTCAGAGTTACACACACAGAGAAAAGAAGAGGCAGAGAGAGAGAGAGAGAGAGAGAGAGAGAGAGAGATGTCTTCCATATGCTGGTTCACTCCCTAAATGGCCACAATGGCTGGAACTGCACTGATCTGAAGCCAGGAGCCAGGAGCTTCCTCTGGGTCTCCCACATGGGTGCAGGGGTGCAAGGACTTGGGCCATCTTCTACTGCTTTCCCAGGCCATAGCAGAGAACTGAATCAGAAGTGGAGCAGCTGGGTCTCAAATGGCACCCATATAGGATGCTAGCACTGCAGGCAGTGGCTTTACTTGCTATGCCACAGCACCGGCCTCACTAACCTACATTTTTATAAAACCATCCAGGTTTAACCCACCACTTTACACAACAATTTGCTGGCATATACCTGCCTAAGTGACAGTCTTGTTTCAAATGAAATGGACACTGCTGCCTTTTGAGTTATGAATACAGAATTACTCACACTCACCACATACTTGTGAGTCATATTTTGTAAATGGCCTTAACAGTTACATATTAATCTCTTTAGAAAACATGGCATAAAGGAGACATATTAAGTAGCTATCTCTAAGTATGAATTGAGGAAATAGATAATATTGTGAATAGAGACTGTTGAGTTTGATTGAATACGTGTAATTATTCCTTCAATTGCCACACAGGAATCTCATGCTCAAAGACAATAATCAGGAACTGGGAGCTGATAGGATGGTCACCAGAGACTTGACAATGGGGATTATCTACTTAACACAGACTATTACTGGAATCCTGAGGAATTTCTGTCTTCTTTCCCATTATCTCTATCTCTACTGCACAGGATGCAAGCTTAGGTTCACAGATTTGATCATCAAACACCTGACTGCAGCCAACTGCTTAGTCATTCTGTCTAAAGGAGTTCCCCAAACCATAGAAGCTTGGGGATGAAGCATTCCTCAGTGATATTGGGTGCAAGCTTGTGTTCTATGTGCACAGAGTGGGCAGAGATGTTTCCATTTGTAGCACCTGGCTTCTGAGTATCTCCCAGGCTGTCTCCATCAGTTCCAGGAACACAGGGTGGGCCAAGCTCAAAGCAAAGTCTCACAAGTACATTGGCTCCTCCATTACACTCTTCTGGATGGTGAACCTGATACTAAACATCATACCTGTGCATGTGACTGAGAACAGCAGGGACAAAAATACTACAAAGAAAGCTGATTATGGCTACTGCTATTTGGTCAATAGTGACAGATTCATGGACTATGGAACACTGTATGTAGCACTGCTGTTATTCCGAGATGTTTTCTTAGTGGCACTCTTGCTCTGGGCCAGTAGCTCCATGGTTTTCACCCTATACAGGCACAAGCAGCAGGTCCAATACATCCATGGGACCAATGTCTCTTCCAGGTCCTCCCCAGAGTCCAGAGCCACCCTTACCATCCTCATCCTGGTGAGCACCTTTGTGTCTTTGTTCACTCTCTCCTCCATCTTTCATATTTCTCTGACTGTTTTGAACAATCCTAGTTTTTGGCTGGTGAACACCACTGTACTAATCATTGGAAGTGTCCCAACTGTGAGCCCCTACATTCTCATGAGCCATGACTCAAGAGTTCACAGGGTCTGCTGTGCCTGCACCAGGAATACACAATCTCCTTCCCAGCAAGACGGTGCAAGTGTATGATAATTCATATTGGTCTGTTCTCAATATGTTTCAACTTTCATTAATACTTTGTACATGACAAGAGGACAGACAGACATAGACCTCAAATTCCCATGATTCCCACACAAATGCCTGTAATAGCAGGTCTCAGATGGCAGAACTGGGAGCAAGGTACTCTATTCACGCCTCCTACAGTTACTTGAGCCATTGTCCCTGCCTCCCAGGTCTGCATCAGCAGCAGGCTTGGGTTCGCAGCAGAGCTGGGTATGGAACCCGGGTAACTCTGATGTTTGATGTGGCAATTTTATCTGGGATCTTAAGCAACAGGCCAAACACCTGCATTACAATGGTGAGTTCTTCATGCACTGATCCATCCGGGAATGTAAGCACATTTGGAAGCCATCCCAGTACCAAAGTGGGGGTTAACAAGGCAGCATGAATTTCTGCTTTAAAATAAGAACATGGGCCTGGCATTGAGTATTAATCCTATATTGAGTCAAGTTCATTTACAGACTGCTGTACTTCTGATCTAGCTCCCTGCTCACGGCCTGAGAAAACCAAAGATGATGGTCAGAGCACTTGTGTTCCTATCACCCATATAGGAGACTTGGATGATGTTGCTGTGTAGGAACATAGCTTCTGTCAAAGCCTTCTCAGTGAGGACACACTCTTCCTGGACACAGAGTGTGGCCACAGGTACTAATTAAGGATAGTAAATGACCTATTAACAGGAAGAGCATTGAGCCCTTGTAGAAATGTTGGACCCACAAGGACATGTAGCTGCTTTAACAGACATGCTTATCTAACATGTCTTGCTAAACAGGTTTCAAACTGTTGAAATCTTTACTTAGTATAGAGTTATATATAGATATAGAGTATATCTTCTGTATATAAAGATAATTAAAAATGAAACTTAGTGAAGAATGGGATGGGGGAGGAAGTAGGAGATGGGATGGTTTGAGGGTGGGAGGGTGGTTATGGGGGGAAGAACTACTATAATCCGAAAGTTGTACTTTTGAAATTTATATTTATTAAATAAAATTTTTCTATATAAAGAAACACACTCAAAGAAATCTTAGAGTTATATGAGCATGCACCTACACTTTACAAATGGCTGATGTGATCCTGGACATTAAAGAAACACACTTGGTTTTGTCTGGCGGCATTCTTCTGAGGAAGAGTTTCCAGGTAGTTTTTCTCCTTTGCTTGCTACAACCACAACACTCCTGGCTCCTGGCTTCTGCTTGGTTCAACCCTGGACATGGAATCCATCTGGGTAGTGAACCAGAGGATGGAACATCTTTGTGTCTGTCTGTCTGTCTCTTTCTTTCTCACTGTATCTTCCTTTCTCTTAGTAACTCTGGCTGTCAAATAAATGAATATTATAGTCTGTATCTTCCTCTCTATCATTCTGTTTCTACTGTCTCTTAGTAATTCTGTCTTTCAAATAAACATGTTTTATTTCTAAAAATAAAACAAAGAATAAGCTTTTAAGCAATAAAAGATTTACTATCTAATTGCCACATTCTATATTATGGAAATGTTATTAATGTTTCATGCTCCACCAAGAAATACGGAGGTGAAGAAGTCATGGGGTGTCCCCTGAATCTGACATAATGAATTTAGCAGAAATGACAAGTTATGGAATATAGCAAAAGCTCCTTACATAAAGGGAATGTAACGGGTATTGGGAAGAATTGGAGAAAGTGAATTCTTGTACACTGCTGACAGGAATGTACACTGGATGGAGCTGTTAAGGAAAACAGAACGGCAGTGTCTCAGAAGTTAAAAATGGGACTTCATATGACCCCATGGCCCCACTTGTGCCTATAGAACCAGAGGACAGTAAATGAGATCTTTAATACATCTTGAACTCATGTTTGTCACTATATTGCCTCATGGTATCTATGGCATGGAAGCAACTGAAGTATGTATCAAAGGGAAGTGATTAAAGATATTGTGCTATATAAAAATGGAATATTATCTAGTCTTTAAAAAGAGGGAAAGATTAGCAAAGCGCTAGCGTGAATGGACATGAAGGACACTGTGTAAGTGGAATGAGTCAGACACAAAAAGATAATTCCTACATGAACTCACTTATATGAGGAATCAGAAATAGAAATTCAGGGGTGCTTGTGGCACAGTGGGTGAAGCTGCTGCCTGTGATGTTGTCATCACATTAGAGTGCTTGTTCAAGTTTCAACTGGTCTGCATTCAATTCAGCCCCCGCTATAATGCCTGGGAAAGGAGCAGATAATGGCCCTAATATTGGGTCCTAACACCTACCTGATAGACCCTCATTGCATTAGTAATGTTCCTTTTGCTAGAGAATGTTATATACACATGAAATAACACTCAAGGGAAAATATGTATAGTGTCATAAAACTAGTGAACTACTTCAATGAAAAGTTTGTATTTAAAATTCACATAATATTCATAAAATAGTACCTATTTGTTTTTATAACATTGACGATAAGAAAAATGAGAATATCTAAATCTTAAATTCTGCAATGCTATATTTGATTCTCTTCATAAAGCAGGTTACTATTTATCAGATATAAAAATATGGGGATTTTTACCATGTCATATTTGGGGCAAAAAAAGGCCTCAGACATGTAAGAAATCAAGTAGGGAATCCTGGCATCTCTGTCCATCCGTAGCACAGGGCACCATCCAACAGTCTGTGGGCTGTCCAATACCACAACTCTAAAGCCTGACTTGGAAATTCTTTTGAGATATATTAGGGAGTGGACATGGGAAAAATAGTGCATTTCCTTGAACTGAATTTCAAAGAATGAATTTAAACTCATGTTATATTTCCTCATTAATTACACAATCAAGACTACAATCAATAACCAAAAGTGGTGGGGCAAGAAAACCACAGTAACCATTCAATTCTCTTGAATTGAGGAAGTAAGATGGCTTACCTAGTAATGAAAGGAATTTTAGAATCTGCCTGTCACATCATGGTTTCACTTATAAGGGTTCAAAACTTTCTGTATATCCTCTGATACTATTCTCTTCAGCTTCTTGTGTCCACCTGATATGAGAAACAAGGGTACAAAAAGGTAAAGAATGCTTTGGTATAAAATCCTCAGATCCTGAAACTTCTTTGTTTTAGGAAGCTTTTATTTAATAAATATAAATTTCATAGGTACAGCTTTAGGAATACAGCAGTTCTTTCCCCTATATCTGCCTTCCCAACTCAACTCCTGTCACACCTCCTACTACCTTTCCCATCCCATTGCTCAAACTTCTAAAATTTTTTTCATGGAATATTAGAAAAATCTAGTTCTTTCTTTCTTTAGTAGATAATAAGTGATTTATTTCTTCTAGGAGGTTCTATCAATTCTTTTTTAAATAATTTTTTCATATATAGAATTTCCCCATCTTCCTTCCTTCTCATTTTATTTCTTCTTTTAATCACTTTTTACTAATACAACGAGAACAATGGTTCCTTCCTCTTTTTCTTTTTTATTTTATTTTATTATTTTTTTTGACAGGCAGAGTTAGACAGTGAGAGAGAGAGAGACAGAGACAGAGAGAAAGGTCTTCTTTCTCATTGGTTCACCCCCCAGGTGGCTGCTATGGCTGGCACATTGCAACTTGTGTGCTGCACTGATCTGAAGCCTGGAGCTAGGTGCTTCCTCCTGGTCTCCCATGCGGGTGCAGGGCCCAAGGACCTGGGCCATCCTCCACTGCACTCCTGGGCCACAGCATAGAGCTGGACTGGAAGAGGAGCTACTGGGACAGAACTGGCACCCCAAGCAGGACTAGAACCCAGGGTGCCGACGCCGCAAGTAGATGATTAGCCTAGTGAGCCATGGTGCCATTTCCTTCCTCGTTTTTTAAACATCAATTATTCAAACTGCAGAGTTGCACTGAGGTGGAGAATTAAAATCAGCAGGTTCACTTCCCAAATGAACACAATGGCTGGTGCTGGGCAAGGCCAAAGCCAAGACTTCATTGAAGGCTCCCCCTGTGGGTTCCAGGGGCCCCAAATTTGGGTCTTCTCCTGGTGCATTCCCAGTCTGTCAGCAGGGAACTGGATACAATTGGGAAGGAAGAAGTCAAACTATCTGTATTTGCAGATGACATGGTTCTTTATATAGGGGATTCAAAGAGCTGCACTAAGTGACTATTGGAACTCATGGAAGAGTTTGGTAAAGGAGCAGGATATAAATCAGTACACAAAAATCAACAGCCTTTGTATACAGAGACAATGCCACAGTCGACAAAGAACTTCTAAGATCAATCCTATTCACAATAGCTACAAAAATAATCAGATACCTTGGAATAAGCTTACAAGTATGTCAAAGATCTCTACAATGAGAATTACAAAATAAAAAAAGAAATAGAAGAAGATTAAAAAAAAATGGAAAAGTCTTCCATGTTCATGGATTGGAAGAATTAGTATCATCAAAATGTCCATTCTTCTACAAGTAATTTACAGATTCAATATGATACCAATCAAAATATCAAAGGCATTCTTCTAAGATTTAGAAAAAATGATGCTGAAATTCATATGGAGGCACAGGAGACCTCGAATAGCTAAAGCAATTTTATACATGAAAAGCAAAGCTGGAGATAGCACAACACCAGATTTCAAGACACACTACAGGGCAACTATAATAAAAACAGCCTGGTACTGAATCACATAGTGAAAATCCCCTAACAGGGTAGATCCTATGTTAAGTGGCCTTTTTATAGATAGCAATAAAAAATAATAATAATAAATCACAAAGGTGGACTGAGCTTCCTGAAATGATGGACATATTTATGTCAATGACTGTGGTTTTGTGTTCATGGGTATGTGTTTCTTTAGTGGTTTGTCAAGTTGTGATCCCTCTATGGGTACAGCTTTCTGACTGTATGCTCCATTTTAATGTGTCACTTGAAAAAACTTAATAGATTAAAAGGTAGAAAGCTTTACCATGTCAAATATTCCTTGGGGTCAGTTTTGTGATGCAGCTAGTAAAGCTGCCTTCCATGCTGGTATCACTTATGGAGGCCAGGTAACT